GAGAGAGAGAGAGAGAGAGAGAGAGAGAGAGAGAGAGAGGCTATGGAGGGCGAGCCGAAGCAGAGTCAACCAGAAAGGCCAACACCCAAGAGAGATCGCGAGCTGTCTCTTATACACATCTAGATGTGTATAAGAGACAGTGACACCACCGCCGCCTGAGTTACGAACGCCTTTTCGAACTCAGGCCCTGACACAGATGCCGATGCCTGTTTTTTCTGCCCATTACGAACTCCCATGTGACATAAACGTACTTCCCCCCCCTAAAAAAAAGAGCAGTATTCCTTTGAAAGCCTGCATCTGGACTTCTCCTCGAAACATGCATATCCATGACCCTTTGCTGGTGTGACCTACTCCCATGTGTGTGCTGTAGGTGATGGCAGCGAGGCTCAATGCAAAGTGCAATTTCGAGGAAAAAAGAAAAAGGAAAAAAAAAAAGAAGAAAAAAAGCGGAGTATTCCTTTGAAAGCCTGCATCTGCCGAGTCTTTTTTTTTTTTTTGGTACTCAAAACTGCAATCTTTAGTAGAAATACAAGCTGGGAACCAGGCCCGGCATCCCTTAGCAATGTTGCGTGCTATATTCTTCTCTCATTTACGGGCCTCGCTGCACTACTCTCTAAATGTGCAAGACGAGAGTGAATCTTCCGCTAGAATATGGAAAGATACACCGCCATGAATTTTGTCTTTGTCTTTTGTGCATTTCAAGAGTAGTGCATTTGTCTTTTGTGCATTTCAAGAGTAGTGCAGCGAGGCCCTATGTATAGTGCCGGGGAGCACCAACCAACCTGGATCTCTCCCCAGCCCACGGGGCAGGTTGGCACCACAGCTGTGGTGCGAGAGCAAGGCTGTACCAGTCCCTCTGTACCAGTCCCTCATCACGTTGACGAGGGGTGGGCAGGCATTGCCGATGGGGGAAATCAGTGGTGCTAGCGCGGAGCAATGGCCAGACACTGCACCTCCCCTCCCCCCCCCGTTCATGTTCCCTTAAGTCGCAAACAACTCTTCTGACTACCGTCATCCCCGGAATACCTGTCTCTTATACACATCTAGATGTGTATAAGAGACAGCCCCAACCCCACATGGCAGTGTCTAATGGCCAATATTGTTGCTGCATAGCAGCCAAGAACATCAGCCAAGGTCCT